GGTTACAGACGCGCCGAAACCCAGAATTACCAGAACGGGTTACTTCCGGGTTTCGGCACTTGCACATGCGCAGAACGGGTTACTTCCGGGTTTCGGCACTCGCACATGGGCAGAAGCGCCAAATATCAACCTGCGCATGCGCAGGCACGGCACTGCGGGTTGCAGACGCTGCAGGTTGCGAATGTGCCTCCCGCACAGATCATGTTCGCAACCTGAGCGTCCACTGTAATAAGTGAAATGATAGAAACTCATGACATTATGTGTTAGGCATGGAGAAAGCAGACAGAGACAAGCTTTTCTCCGTCTCTCTAAGCACCAGGACTAATGGACACCCAGTGAAGCTGAATGTTGAAAGATTTGGGACAGATAAAAGGAAGGACTTTTTCATGTGGCACACAGTTAAACTATGGAACTCATTCCAGTGTGAGGCAGTGATGGCCACCAACCTGGATGGCTGTAAAAGGACAAATCCATGGAAAGGAACTTCTATAGCTCAGTTGGTAGAGCAGGGCTTCAGGGTCGTGGTTTTGAGCTCCATGCTGGGCAAAAAATATTCCTGCATTGCAGGGGGTTGGACTAGATGATCCTTGAGGTCTCTTCCAACAATTCTGAGTTTCTGTGATAAAGCTATTAATAGGTACTTGCCATGATGGTTATGTTTTACCTCTATGGTCAGAGGCAGAAAAGCTTCTGAATAACAGTTGCTTGGAGCGAAAGAGTGGAGAATGCCCTTGTGTTTGGCTCCTGCTTGGTGGTTTCTTATTGGGGCACCTGTTTGGCCACTGTGAAAACAGGGTGTTGGACTAGATGGACCAAAACAGGCAGGGGTCGACTTCTAACCACAGAGGGGCACGGGGGGGGGGGGGTTAATGGTGTCCCAGACATGCAGGGAGTCACACCCCAGAGACAGGGGTTGAAAATCTGAAGTGCCAGAGACAGGAGTATCATCCAGCTCCCTTCAACACTGGCTGTGTGGCTGATGGGAGTTGTAGGCCAAAAGTTCTGGAGGGCACCAGCTTGTGGAAGGCTGACACAATCCAAAACAAGGAGGGAAGGAACTTTTCAGTATGGAAGAAAGGAGCTCAGCTTAGCCAGGCAAAGTCATCTATTCTGATGAGGTGACTTGCTCAGTCTGAGAAGTTTCTGAGGCATCAGTGGGCATGATGTTCATCTGGCATGAAGACTCAGACTGCTTAGACACAAGTCTAGAGTGTACCAAGTCCCAAACAAGTGGTGCAGTGATTAAAAAAACAACCTGCTAGCACCTTTGCAAAGCTAAGCAGGGTCCGGCATGGTTTCAAATTGGATGGGGGACCAGATGCTGAGATTCCTGCATTGCAGGGGGTTGGACCAGATGGCCTCAGGGTCCCCTCCAGCTCTACAAGTCTATGATTCTATGGGAACTGGGAATGTTGGGCTGGGTGCCCCTGACACCTCTGGCCACTGTGAGGCAGGGAGAGAAGCCATATTGGCCATCAGAAGCTGGTGGGACTTGGAGTGGGACATTTTTAGGGACAGGGCTTGGCTTTTGTGGGTCGTCTGATGGACTGCTAAGCTAGCTGGCAGGGCTACAGTTGCAGCCTAGGTGGTGCCTTTAAATCACTGAGCTTAGCCTGCAAAACTTGTTGTTGGTACACACTCACATACACACAGCAGAAATGGTCAGGGATGATGCTTTCTATCAGCTTCAGCTGGTGGCCAGCTGAGCAGGGATAGCTTAACTTCTGTTGACCATGCTCTGGTGACCTCTGTGTTAGAGTTGTGCATTGCACTATAGGTAGGGCTGCCTCTGTCAATGGTTAGGAAACAGCTGTTGCAGAATTCAGCGGCCAGGTTGCTCAATGGGGCAAGATGGTTTGAGCATATTACACCGATCTTGTCCTGACTTCACTGGCTGCAAATCAGTTCCCACGCCCAATCCAAAGCACTAGTTTTGACCTATATAGGCTTAAACAGCTCAGGACTGCAATACCGCAAGGATCACCTCTCTCCAAAGGAACTGCCCCAGACCCTGTGATCATCACCTGAGGCCCTTCTCCATGTGCCTCCACTGCAAGAGATCTGGAGGGTGGCAACATGAGAATAGGCCTTTTCTGCAGTGGTTCCCCATTTGTGGAATGCTCCCCCCAAGGAGGCCCGCTTGGCACCTTCTCTACATATTTTTATGCACCAGGCAAAACATTCCTCTTCTCCCAGGCCTTTAGCTAATCAAACCATCTGTGGCCTTTTAATCTGTGTAGGGGAGTATTGTTTTTGATTTGTTATTATGTTATGCATTTTTGTGTTTCTATATTGTAAACCATCCTGTGACCCTTAAATGAAGAGCAGTATAATACATACATACATACATACATACATGTGCTGTTTACAACCTCTGGGAAATATTCATTGGCAATAAGAGAGGTCATGCTAGGAAGGCAACTTTTGAAGCTTGAAAGGGTTTTTGCTTATCACTTCTGATCAAAGATCAAAACCAGACCAGACATTCGTATTTGCAATTTATTTCCTTTCTTTCCCAATTGTGTTCTTGTGCATATGCGGAAAGCAATGTCTTCAGACTTGCAAAGGCTGAACAGCAGATTTGTGTGTCTGTTATTACCTTCTTGTGTACTTCCTGAGCCAAGTGAACTCTGCAAAGGCTGGATTTTAGATCTGAGCTACGGAACAAGATCAATCTCAATCAATTTGCAAAGCAGTTGCTTAGAGTTCTGTTCACCTTGAGTAGCAAGAATTTGGCAAGGGCTTCCTGATATTCAGTGCGTGTTCACAAGCTCGTTCCTTTGCAATTGAGCTGAGCTGTGGAGATTCCTATCCAATGTGCAAAAGGTGAGTTTCAAAACGCACTTTGCAATGAACTCCTTGTTCTCTTCAATAAGGTTTCCATGTTCACAAGTAGGGCAAGCACCTGAGAGCTGTCTGTTGACAGAAATTGTTGCTTTTGCTCAAAACCAGTCACATAGATCTGGTTGCTCTCTTACTGCAAGTGGGTTCACTGGGTGGGGAGCGTGGTTTGATTGGTATGGCCATTCAGAAGCAAGATTATTAAAATGCAATCTATTTGCACATTTATAACCAGCTGGCAAGGAAGAAGAATGTCAGGACATTATCTGGTTTTGGAACCTCATGCACTTGCAACTGGAAATAGAAAACAGAGCAACGCAGATCTCACAAAGGCAATTCTCAGTCAGAATGGTGTTCTCTCTGCCACAAGATAAAAGGGAGCTCTAAATGAGAGAGGTCTGCTTGCTGTCACCAATTCTTCTGAAGTGCTGGACCTGAGAAGGCGGCTGCATTAATAGAAAGGAACTACTCAATCTGTCCTAAGGGCCTCTGCTGTTAGGAAGGGGGCTGGGGTGTGTGAGCTTCTGGGTGAATTATATCATTATTCATCTTTCAATGGAAGATCCATTAGAGGCAAGAGATGGGCACAATATAGATCTTGCATTAAGAATATAAAAAGAGTGCTGCTAGGTCAGGTCGAAGGGGAAGCGGGTGGTGCTGTGGTCTAAACCACTGAGCCTCTTGGGCTTGCCGATCAGAAGGTCGGCGGTTTGAATCCCCGCAATGACGGGGTGAGCTCCCGTTGCTCGGTCCCTGCTCCTGCCAACCTAGCAGTTCAAAAGCACGCCAAAAAGTGCAAGTAGATAAATAGGTACCACTCCGGTGGGAAGGTAAACGGCGTTTCTGGGCGCTGCTCTGGTTTGCCAGAAGCGGCTTAGTCCTGCTGGCCACATGACCCGGAAGCTGTTCGCTGGCTCCCTCAGCCAGTAAAGTGAGATGAGCGCCACAACCCCAGAGTCGTCTGCGACTGAACTTAACGGTCAGGGGTCCTTTACCTTTACCTTTAGGTCAGGCTGAAGGTGACCAATCTCACTGTGGTCAACCAGATACTCCGATGGGAAGCTTGCAAGCAGGACCCGAGTGCAACAGCAATGGCCTCAACTTGTGATTCCCAACAACTGGACCTCAGAGGCAATAGCGGAGATACAGTGGTACCTCAGGTTACATACGCTTCAGGTTACATACGCTTCAGGTTACAGACTCCACTAACCCAGAAATAGTACCTCAGGTTAAGAACTTTGCTTCAGGATGAGAACATAAAACGCGCGGCAGCAATGGGAGGCCCCATTAGCTAAAGTGGTGCTTCAGGTTAAGAACAGTTTCAGGTTAAGAACGAACCTCCAGAACGAATTAAGTACGTAACCAGAGGTACCACTATAGAATGTAGCCCACAGGGTTAGTAGCCATTCATTCACCTTATTTTCAATGAATGTCAAATCCTATTTTAAAGCCGTGCAGGTTGATAGCCTTGTATGGTTTTATGATAGCTTCATAGTTTTAACTACACACCAAAAGAAAGGTCATTCTTTTGTCTGTCCTGAATCTTCCAACATTCAGCTTTGTAAATGACCCCATGTGGGTTCTTGTATTATGAGAGGGTTTATCCACTTTCCCCCACATGATACAGGTGAAACTCGAAAAATTAGAATATCGTGGAAAAGTTCCTTTGTTTTAGTAATTCAACTTAAAAGGTGAAACTAATATATGAGATTGACTCATGACATGCAAAGCGAGATATGTCAAGCCCTGATTTGTTATCATTGAGATGATCATGACGTACAGCTGATGAAAACCCCAAATTAACCATCTCAGAAAATTAGAATATTCAAGGAAATCAGCAAAACAAGGATTGCAAATCGAGCAAGACTGGACCTCTGAGAAGTAGAAGCAGATCTCGCTTTGCATGTCATGAGTCGATCTCATATATTAGTTTCACCATTCAAGTTGAATTCCTGAAATCAATGAACTTTCCCACGATATTCTAATTTTTCGAGGTTCACCTGTATGTAATTTGCTTTATTATTAATGTTAATTATTAATATTAATATTATTCCTACTGTCCCCCCAACTTTGAGAAAGTTGGACTACATGGAACTGGCTGAGATGACCGGCAGAATTCGAGACCAGGGAGAAGGGTCGATGGAAGAAGACTGGGAAAAATTCAAAATATACCTTCAAAAATACTGCAATATAAAAGACTGTTAGAAAGAGGTTGGAAAAAGAATATTAGGTCGTTTTGGTAGATATGATATAATGGATTAAGCAAAAACGAGTTGATGAAATTGATGAAATAGAGGAGGTTTAATTACATTATTTTAATTTTAAAATACGTAAATGAAAATAAGGTTAGAAGGATTTGCTGGAAACATGATCTGAACTAGAATACAAAATTGGGAGGTGAGAGGAGGTCATGGAAATAAGTAAAGAGAAAAGGCTATGTAAAGGTTTAATCTGTTTTCGTTTTATTTCAGCTTAATGTATTTTTATATTTTTTGTTAAGTCTTCTTTTTTATTCTATTTTATTGTTCTTTTTTACTTGTTCATTTTTCGCTTTGTTATGGCTAAAGTTTTCTTTGTATTTTGTATGGTTTTTCTTTTTCTTTTTTGTAACTTTAAATTTGGAATAAATATCATTAAAAAAAAAAAAAGAGAAAGTTTACTAGCCTTTATTAACAGCGCAATCAACCATCACTGTTGTGATTTCCCCTCCCCTCAAATTTATTCGCATATTTCATTGCAGGAGAACTTCTAAAGTTCAGTTTAGGTCAAGATTTCCAGGGCAGTGCAGATCCCCTCCTTTCTCTTCCAGCAAAAGTGTGTGTGTGTGTGTGTGTGTGTGTGTGTGTGTGCCCCCCCCCCCCCGCAAATCATAGTGCATGAAAGCTTGTCCAAAATGCTTTGCGACCCCTGCGGTCAGATGCAGCTTAGCACCCTCCTTCCTCGTAGCTAAGGGAGACAGACACTTTAAATCCGTTTTAGCTCATTCAAGCTGAATAAACTTGCGGCGTGTTTGTGCCAAGCGCTATAAATGGGACTGCAGAATTGTTCCTCAGAGAGGCCTCTGAGCCCTCTCTGAGCTCCTCACTCAGAGTCATTAGTGACTGCTTGTTGCCATGTCCCTTGATGCGCCTAAACAGCAACGAGAATGGGGTGGGGTGGGGGGGTTTGATGGCACTCAAGCTGCACTGAATTTTCTTCCCTCCCCCATGACACCCCTCTGTAAATTTTGAGGGTGCACATCCTCTTCGGTTTCTCCGGGCATGCAGCTAATCAGTGAATATTCCATTATTCAGCATCACTGCATAATATCCAAAGGCTGTGCAATAGCATTCGGGATTATATTTGATGGCTTCTGATAGGTGCTATTGCAGCCCCACGGCAGCAGGGGGAGGGTAAGTTTCATTGAAAACAGTTGGTTTAGGACTTACATTTGAGTAAATATATCCAGGATTGGGCTGCTAGACAGTTTTAAATTAGCTGCATCCATTCAGTTGGAAATATATACGCATAGAACTCCAGTGACAAAGGAAGATGTTAAGATCTGACACTGACATCAATGCCCAAACTGCAAAATACAATAACATATGGTAGATTCTGAAATTTGATGCAATTCCATTTCAGCTCTACTAGCTACTCGGTTCAGAATGAAAGCAGGGTGATAACAGGTCAGTCTTGGGCCCGTTGTTTTTCAGTGTCTTCATAAATGACTTGGGTGAAGAAATTGAGAGGATGCTCATTAAATTTGCAGATGACACCGAAGTGGGAGGGGTAGCTAATGCCACAGAACACAGAATGAGAATACAAAAATGATCTTAACAGATTGGAGAACTGGGCCCAAGGTAACAAAATGAATTTCAGTAGGGACAAATGTAAGGTTCTGCATTTAGGCAGGAAGAAACAGCTGCATAAATATAAGATGGGGGACACCTGGTTTATTAGCAGTATATGAGAAAAGGATCTAGGGGTTTTGGTGGACCACAAGCTTAACTTGAGTCAACAGTGTGGTGCAGCAGCAAAAAAGTGGGTGGCGCTGTGGTCTAAACCACTGAGCCTCTTGGGCTTGCTGATCAGAAGGTCAGTGGTTTGAATCCCTGTGACGTCCCAGCTTCTGCCAACCTAGCAGTTTGAAAGCATACCAGTGCAAGTAGATAAATAGGTACCACTGCACAGTGGCGGAGCTTCATACTCGAGCACCGGCGAGCAGAGAGCAGGCAGAGACAGGGCTGGCACACATCCTGGGGGGTGGGGGGCAGCCACGATGGCACCCCAGCGGGATCGCGCTGCGAAGATAAACATGTTTCTGTGTGCTCTGGCTTCCATCACAGTGTCCCGTTGCACCAGAAATTATTTAGTCCTGCTGGCCACATGACCCGGAAAGCTGTCTGTGGACAAATGCTGGCTCCCTCAGCCTTGAAAGCGAGATGAGCACCACAACCCCATAGTCGCCTTTGACTGGACTTAACCGTCCGGGGGTCCTTTACCTTTTACCTTATTCTGCCTTGATCAGACCACACCTGGAATACTGTGTCCAATTTTGGGCACCACAATTTAAGAAGGATGTTGACAAGCTGGATCATGTACAGAGGAAAGCACCCAAGGTGATCAAGGGTGTGGAAACCAAGCCTTATGAGGAACGGTTGAAGGAGCTGGGTAGGTTTAGCCTGGAAAAGAGGAGACTGAGAGGAGATATGACAGCAATCACACGGAAGAGGGAATAAGCTTGTTTCCTCCTGCTCTGAAGGGTAGGACCTGAACCAAGGGCTTCAAGTTACAAGAAAAAAGATTCTAGCTAAACATCAGGAAGAACTTTCTGACAGTAAGAGCTGTTCAACTATGGAATGGTCTCCCTTGGGAGATGGTGGACTCTCCTTCCTTGGAGGTTTTGAAGCAGAGGTTGGATGGCCATCATCATGGATGCTTTAGCTGAGATTCCTGCATTGCAGGGAGTTGGACTACATGACCCTCAAGGTCCCTTCGAGCTCTACAATTCTATAATTCTTTGAGTCTATGAACATTTGTTTCAGCCTTCCAAAATGTCCTTCCCCACTGCCAGCTGATATGGCGAACAGTTGTGATATTTTGGTGGTAAATGGAAGGTATAGTGCACATGACCAGAAGAACTCTTTTCTTCATATCAAACTGATCTGACCACACCTGAGTCCTGGGTCCAGTTCTGCGTATCACATTTTAAGAAGGACATTAACAGACTGGAACATGTCCAGGAGAGGAGCACTAGGATTGCAAGATGTCTAGAAACCAAGTCTTAAGAGAAGTAGCTGGAAAAGTTGGATAAGTTTGGCCCAGAGGGAAGAAGATTAAGGGGAGACATGATGAGAGCTGCCTTCAAATTTCTGAAGGGCTGTCTGTCATGCAGAAACTGGAGCAGGCTTGTTGTTTGTTGCTGCAGAGAAATCAGGAGGGAGACTGCAGAGAAGCAGATTTGGGGCTAAACATTAGGGGTTAGAGTTTCTGATGGTAAGGGCTGTATCATAGTGGAGCAGCCTGCCTTTGGAGATGGATGGACTCTCCTCCCACATTGAAGATACTTCACTAATCCAGGGGTTGGACTAGATCAGGGGTCAGCAACCTTTTTCAGCTATGGGCCAGTCCACCGTCCCTCAGACCATGTGGTGGGGCGGACTATATTTTTTTTTGGGGGGGGGAATGAATGAATTCCTATGCCCCACAAATAACCCAGAGATGCATTTTAAATAAAAGGACACATTCTACTCATGTAAAAACATGCTGATTCCCGGACCGTCCGCGGGCCAACTTGAGAAGGTGATTGGGCCACATATGGCCCGCAGGCCTTAGGTTGCCTACCCCTGGACTAGATGATGTCTAAGGCCCGTCAGATAATTCAACATCCTCCTTCAGATGCAGGCGGAGATCAGACCACATGCAACAGTCAGAGGGCAGCCTTGTGCAAAATGTCATGGAGTGGGGTGTCTTGGTGTGCATTGCTAGGAGGCATTATAAGCGTAGACCAGTGAATCATAAGAATGTAAGAAGAGCCTAAAGGATCAAGCCAATGGTCCATCTAGTCTAGCGTCCTGCTCTCACTGTGGTCAACCAGAAGAAGAAGAAGAAGAAGAAGAAGAAGAAGAGTTTGGATTTGATATCCCGCTTTAGCACTACCCGAAGGAGTCTCAAGGCGGCTAACATTCTCCTTTCCCTTCCTCCCCCACAACAAACACTCTGTGAGGTGAGTGGGGCTGAGAGACTTCAGAGAAGTGTGACTGACCCAAGGTCACCCGGCAGCCGCATGTGGAGGAGCGAACCCAGTTCACCAGATTACAAGTCCACCGCTCTTATTTTTTTTTAAAATAATTTTTATTAAAGTTTTAGACAATAAAAAAGAGGAAAAAAAACCATACACAATACATATAACAACAACACACACAAAAAGCAACACAAAATTCAACAATAAAAAAACAAAAAAAACATAACAATTAAAAACAATATCTCTTTTCCATTTCCATTTTTAAATTACTTACTTTCTGGACTTCCTCATACCTCCCTCTTTTGTATTCCAATCCAAATTATTTGTCCAGCAGTTTCTTTTCCACTTTTTTAATCCCAAACTTTAATTTAATAGAATGTTAAAATATATAACTTCAACTTCTTTAAGCCTAATCCTTGGTCTTAGTATCATATAACATTAAAATTTTCCCTCTTAATATCAAATTTCCATTTCTTTAAACATCATTAATCTTAATCTTTAATCTTAGTCTATCATTAACTTTAACCTGTACAGCTGGAAACCACTTATTTTCAATCCAACATCACTCTAACATTCTTTAATTTTGCAGTATTTCTGAAGATAGTCTTTGAATTTCTTCCAATCTTCCTCCATCGACTCTTCTCCCTGGTCACGGATTCTACCAGTCATTTCCGCCAATTCCATATAGTCCATAAGTTTCATCTGCCATTCCTCCAGCGTGGGAAGTTCTTGTGTCTTCCAATACTTTGCGATGAGTATTCTTGCTGCTGTTGTTGCATACTCAAGTCCACCGCTCTTAACCACTACACCACACTGGCATCCAGATACCAGTGGGAAAGCAGTGTTGGCCTTCAACCTAGATGGCTTTAGAAGAGGGTTAGGGAAATTCATGGAGGAGAGGGCTAGTCCAACCCCTGGATTAGTGAAGTATCTGCAATGCGGGATCTTGCAACAGTTGGAGGGGAGAGTTGCTCTTGTGCTTGGGTCCTATGGGCTTCCCACTGAAGCATCAGGCTGGCCACTGTGAGAACAGGATACTGTACTGAGTGGGCCATTGTCCGGACCCAGAAGGCTCCTCTTATGTTTTTATATTCTGAACTGACAAGCAGCACCTGAGCACAGGAGCAATCTTCTCCCCTCCTGCAGTTTTCAGCAAGTGGCATTAGGAAGCATTGCTAGCTCAAACCACGCAGGCAAGGCTTAGCCATTATGGCTAGTCGCCATTGAATGTTGCAGGATGTTCCCCAGCTAAAGAACTATGGCAAGAGAAACTGATGGACTATGCAGAACTGGCAAAATTGACACTCAAATTACGGGACAAGGACAACTGTGACTTTAAAGATGAATGGGAACCTTTTACAAAGTATTTAAAGAAACAAAAAAAGTGAACTGGACTCCTTGGCAGGCTTTG